GACAGACAGACAGACAGACAGACAGACAGACAGACAGACAGACAGACAGACAGACTTACCTGCTATGGCCTGTGTGAAGTACTTCCCGACCTCATCTTTGGTGACGCTGAAGTTCAGGGAGCGGATGATGATGGACAGATCGGCCTCGGTGCTGATGTGACCCTTCCGGGCGTGGAAGAAGAAGCACTCCTTGAACTCTGGAATCAAAGAAACAAAGAAAGTTTTGTTTTAGTAAGAAGAATTTTACGGCACTCGCAACACAATAAGGTCAATATAAGTGCCGAAGATTAGAAGTGTTACAAGAGATTAACAAACATAATACAAAAGGAGGAGAGATAAGGATGATAGATGTTTGATAGGAAAGAAAGAGCAAACCACACCAGAGCACCGGCCAACCACCCACGAAAAAAGAAAAGAAATCCTGAGGCGTGCTAACAAAAATAAGTGACTTCTCCGACTTTCCCCCTATGGACATTGATGCTTCAAATTTATAAGCTGAGATTCTACCATTTATTCAAATGAGATGAAAAATAAAGGATAGGCCCTAATTTTAAACTTGACCAAAATGGCATCAGTTGAAAACTTACAAACTTGATCTATTGTATTGTGTCAATTTTAAGTTGAGATCTCTATACATACTCTTCGCTGTGAAGGAGATTGTCAGCCAAGGTACGAGCAATTAGCTGGGGACCACTGTGTCCCTTTTCACGACTTCGATCAAACATCCACTTCCATTTTAATGAAGAAACAGTCAAGGTCACCACAAAAGACAACTCTCAAAACAATGCAACAATAATAGTAACTTAAATAACTCCATAAAGTATTTGTACTAAAAAGCTTCCTAGCCAAGACCATAACCATAAAAAATGTAAGACCTGACAGCAATGTCATGTGCACACATCTAATGTTCACACTTGCATCCTTACCATCAATCTGGTTCTCCGTGAAGTAAAGCGCCTGGAGAGAAAAAGAACCAAAAAAGTTTGGTGAAAGAAATAAGTGTACAAGTTTGAGGGAATACTCTATTTTTATAAATACTCCATACACAGAAGGCCCATAGCTCAGGCAAATGTTTAGAGTGTGACAGACAGCAGTTGTACCATTACAACTGAATTAAAATTCTAAATTTCTAATCTAGATCTAGATTTCTAGATCTAAATCTAGAATCTAGATACCTAGATCTATATATCTAGAGATAGATTATCTAGTCTGATCTAAATCTAGATCTAGAGATTCACTTCCACAATGGCCGTTTTGTAAACAAACGGGACCGCAATTCTGCCATCATAAGGGAAAACGACGAATGGTCAAAATTTTTGGATTTTAGGATTTTGACATATATTTTATAGAGTATTTAATTCTGCATCTGACAGTGTAAAAATTTTTGTCCTAACTTAATCCGTTGTTGTGTATTTGAGAGTTTGTCGTTTTCCCATACACTGGTGAGCTCTGAGCCAGAGATCAGTGTGGGAAAACGACGAAAAGGTCGATCGGTCAAGGATCACTGCTCGTTTGGCATGATCCCCTGGTCTCTGCCGTCGGGCAAATCATGGCATATGAGATGAACGGCAGTTGGTCACTGTTGCGTCAGTACAAACATACTGGGCCTTTTTAGTATCACCTAGCGTGTCTTTCTGCCTGTCTTAACGTATGCTGACAGTACAGTATGTATTGACAAGAGCAAAGAAGCTGCATTATAGATAATTATAAGTAAGAGCAGGCGGGAGACAGGGGAAAGTGGACGGGAATAGGAAAAAAAAAAGGGGGGGGGGGTAAAAAAAATTATTCAGGGAGAAATTCATTAGCACTGCATATTTATTAGTACCCGCCAGATGTTCACAGAGTAACGTCATTATATTAATTTGCTGTCCAGTCATTTGACATCACAACGATGGTTATAGTGCCACAGTTTGTCTAGCACGTTGTCACTGATATGTTGACATCATAAAGAATTACCTGACAAATAGTGGTACCGCGTTATGAAAGTAATTTTCTTTGTCCAGCTTAAAAAGTGGACGTGCGGCGACACTTTGTCTTATTTTACAATTTCTTATGACTTGATGTTACGATCAAGTATAGTAATGTCTTGCAGATTGAAACTCCACTTGGTGATACAACAACTCGTTTTCCCTTCAACTGAATCTTTTATTAAATACGAGCGTCGCATTGCCTTTTCCGAGAGCATTTGTGATGTATACAGTCTAGTCAGATTGCTATTTCTTACGTGAAAGTTTGACTTTGCAATGATCTGATCGTATCATTGACATTGAACATGTATCCCTTTAGTTGCGCAGGGAGAATTTTACACCCATAAACCCTTCATGAGTGTAAGGGAGAATGAGGAACCGTACCATTCGTCGGATTCGCTTACATCGCAAGACTCACCTGCGGCCGCGCAGTGTAAGGGAGAACGAAGAATGTCGAATAACTTTGCTACTTTTCATCCTAAACAATTCAAACTTTGGAAACAGCTTTAACAGTAGAACACCTTAACCAGATATCTGGTGAATTTATAGCTTTACACTGTAAAAGAATAAAAAATAGAAGAGTGTCTAAAAAATGAAAACGGGTCTTTGCCTCTCCCGAAAAATTTGCCTCGCTATTTGGGCAGGACCATTCGTCGTTTTTCCTTACGACGGCAGAATTATAAGGAGTACCGATAGAGGGATAGGACGGTAAGATTGCAGGATAGTTGGGGAGTAGGCCTAGATCTAGATCTAGTAATCATTGAAATTGAGGCCACGAGTCCAAAACCAGACTAAAAAGCTACCCAAATATTTAATGACTATGACTATGAGACCGAAAACAATCACAGGGGGCCTACACACATTTTCTATGATTCATCATGAATATAATCTAGACTAGAAGGATCTTCTTCGATTGAATGTTTGGGAGGACTTCAGTAACGAGCGACCACTATGAGATAGGGCCACCTCTATTCTCACCCGGAGTGAGAATAGTGCAGGCGAGTCTTGTGGCTATTCTCACCCGGTGGGCGTTCACCAAATTTTGCGTTCACCCTAAACCACAGAATTCTACACTGTGATAACAGAAAAATTGTAGAATTCTGTGCCGTGAACAAACGTTCCATTACAACTCGGTAGCCTACTAAAAACGTACAAAATTTTGTCTGTGGGCAGTGGAGAGAGAGAGAAAGAGAGAGAGGAGTAGCGCGAGAATTTCCGGGCAAAACAAAATGGTGACCCTCGTAGTTCGGCTCGATTCGAAAAGTTAAATAGCCGTAGCATCTTTGTAGACAACCAAATTAATTTACTTTTGTGTTTTAACATCATTTTTTAACGTTGTTTTGGTCAATTTGATCGTCCACACCGATAGTAACATATTCAGAAAGAGACAGAGAGAGAGAGAGAAGAGGGGAGGAGTTGATCTTGCGAGAACTTCCGGGCGGCTGAGAATAGCCACTTTCATGCGATAGAGTAGAATGGAGGGTTATGGAGTAGGGTTAAGGTTTGGTCGCTTCTTTATTGCGTTCGTTGGGGTGGTCACTCGTTATGGAAGAAGTCCTTCCGAATGTTTACTCTCACTCTGAAGCCAAACTTTGAGTTTGCCCTTTTTAACGGCAGAGAAAGCACAGCCGATAATAATAACCTACGGTAATCTGGAATACAGCATCTGTATCTTAGTCGAAAAAGAACAATTCAACGCCAACACAAAAAACAATATGACTAAAAACAAAGTTCGGGCAGTGTGCCACACCCAGTCCACCTACCATCTTGTTTCGTTGATCTCGTTCCTCTGCTGACTGCTGATTGATTTCCGCATTCGTGACAAATTCGTATCGCGAAAAAAAAAGGGATTTTTCGAAGAAAATTTTATTCTTAAACAATTAATAATGGCATAGTGCACTATTAATTATATTATTATTATTATCATTAATTTTGTCCCAATATAAAAGTTAAAATCTCAACCGTAAGTTTGCGGGTTCAATGCCCATCAGGTGCCCGACGTAACGTCCCTTGAAAAAGTACTTTACATTACATGAATTGTGCACGCTTCACCCAGGTGGAAAAGGTTACCCTACAAAAGACCTTAATTCTAGATAGCTAGACTGCGAGATGCCTGTCGGTTGCTTGCACTGTATGCTTCTTGAAACGTGGAGAACATTTATGAGTGTTTTTAGGTGTAAGCCTTACTTGGGTAGTGACAGAATTAAAGCCCATAAAGGGGGCTCTTTGTGGTCTAGTTACGATGTTCGCCTCTCATTCACTAGGTCCTGGGGTCGAATCCTGACAGCGAGGGAAAATTTTATTCTCTAAAATTGTCTCTTGTCGCCTCGTTTCCTGATCTCTAACCATGTTCTGTCGTCTGCTTTCGTCTTCACTTTCTGCCCCCACCACACACTCCCCTTTTGCCCCCGTCTGAGCTCCTCACTCTTTCAGCAGCCTTTCTACTGCTACGTCCTGGCTCTTTCTTAAAGCAGTTCTTACTGCTGTTTTTCAGATCCCTAAGTATAAGTAGGCATCGGCCGCCACCCGGGCAAAATTCAAAATTAATTCCTACCAAACTAAAAATGCTTAATGTGCCCCGCGTGCTCATATGCAATGACCTCATGCAGTTGCCAGCACCGCAAATCACGTATTATTATTATTATTATTATTATTATTATTATTATATATTTTTTTAAATATTAGTTTTATTTATTATTTTTTTAAATAAAAGAAACTTCGTACCCACAATCTCACGTCAGGAGTCTGGCAACCCATCAGCAGCATGACCACAGACTACCGACGTTATCTACAGCAATATTTTCTCCTAACATCATCCATGTGCTTTTTACTGGACCATCACTAAACGCTTTTTGAGATGTACAGCCTAGGCCTATCCAATTAAACCTACG